GGCGGAGGACCCGGATGCGCTGTCCCTGTGTGGCCGAGTCTGCTCAGCTTAGCAGTTCCTTGTTCCCCTGCAGTAACCGGGCCGCCCTGCACCTCTATTCCAACACCCTCAACTTTCAGTAAGTAGCTCCAGATTTTTCTAATGGAATGGGGTGGTCCCAGCTCTGGCGCATCCAGACGGCTGAGGTGGGCTGAGCCGCCTTCCAGGCGGGAGGATGGGGGTGGCTGGAGGACAGACCTGGAGTCAGCTGAGGTGGGAAGCAGGCTGCGGACTCCAGTGTCTGTGGTGCCGGCACCTGCCTGCTGGAGTTCGCTCGAGGTGTGTTGTGAGGCGGGAGAGTGGTGTGGCTTGCTGTGTCGCCTGACGCTGGCTGGGGCTAGGTGAAGAGCACACAGGTGTTTGGGTAAAGGTTCAGGAGTGGAGATGAGGGCCCAGGACATGAGGACAAGCCAAGGTGCAGCACTCGTGGTGAGCTGGCACCTAGAAGCATCTAAGCGGGACCAGGAGAAAGGAGAACATGGTGCTACAGAAACCTAAGCACATCCAGACAGGTAGGGATATCGGCAAGAGCAGTGGAGGGATCTAGAGCCCTGGGTGTCCTGGTGGATGAGGGCAGGTCCACTCAGGGACGTGGGAGTCTCTGTGTGCCTGGCACGGGACAGAGAAAGCCTGGCAGGGAAGTGATGTGTGCAGGACACGGTAGCAAAAGCTACTTGAAAGTGAGGCTGGGCTGGAGGGCCCACTGAGACGGCATTCAGTTTCAGCTTGGTGGCGGATAAAGAGGGACTATTGGGAAGGGCATCCAAGGAGGGATCTTTGACCTGGACGTAGATGTCTCTGGTGGCCAGCAATCCCACGGTCTCGGGGCCGGCAGGGCTCTCCTAGGCCATCAAGTCCAGTGCCCCTTCCAGTGGCAAGGTCCCCGAATATGCACACACACCTCCCCGTGCAGCCTTGGCCCCTGAGCTGCTCAGAGCAGGGGCCACATGGCCTGGTGGTGGCTGTCAGGACCCGCGGCCGCAGCGCCCCTCCTCCTCAGCTCCAATTGCTAGGCCCGGGAATCAGCCTTGTTCAGTAAGTGACACGGAACCGGGCATGGGGGGGAGGGGATGGCTGAATCCAGGGCTTCAGTTCACAAGAAAGCACAGAAACAGATCCTTGGTAGCCAGATGAGGGACACAGGACAGGGGCAGGCCCCAGAGGGGTAAAGGTGCTGGACGCTGCTTACCGCTTACTGCCGGACGGCGCAAAGGGAAGGCCACGTTGGAAACGAGGCTTGCTGTCTCCAAAAGGGCCCTTTGGGGGAAAACAGATACGCTGCCCCACTAGCATATGATGCTGGAAGGGTGAGAATTTGTGCCCTGATTTGGGTCGTTCTTTTCTCCACCTCCTGCCCCCAGGATCAGCGAAGTGGAACCCAAATACTACGCAGATGGGGAAGATGCATACGCGATGAAGCGGGACCTCACCCAGATGGCTGACGAGGTAAGTGTCCTGTGGGGCCAGGGCCACAGTCTCACAGATGGGGCAAAGCAAGGCAAAGCATAGGAGGCCCTGCTGGAGGTCAGGGGCAGCTCGGGGTGTGGGGGGAGCCCTGCTGGAGGTCAGGGGCAGCTCTGGACCGGGGTGCTGAGACGGTAGGAAGCCCTCTGTGGCCAGAGGCGAGATGGATTCGTGCCAGCCTTGGCGGCTGTGTTGCCAGGAGTCACGGCCCCGTTCGCCTCAGTTTCTTCAGCTGACAGGTGGGGAGCTGGGCCCCTATCGCCCCAAGATCGCATGCTCTCCCGAAGCTTGTACCGCCTGAGGCGTGATGTGAGAGGTGAGGGAGGAGGTCCCTCAGTGTACTGAGAACTAGGGTCCCCAAGGCTCAGGGGTAAGACAGCTGGGCTGAGGAGAAGGTCAGGGGCCTGCCCCAGGCTCCTCGGGGGCCAGGGCCGTTCGACAGGCTTTGCAGCAGACCCCGTGGGGGAGGCACATGCACCCTCACTTTGTGGGACGGGAAACAGGTCCACAGAGGGCAGAGCCAGGACTCCACCCGGGTCTTCTGACTCAGTCCTGCAGGCTGCCCTCACCCCTGGCTTGGGTGGCAGAAGGGGGTCTCTGTGGTCTGGAGGCTCAGACCTGTCTCCTTCCTCCTGCCTCTTCCTGGGCTCCTGGCGGCAGCTGAGGCGACACCTGGAGCTGAAGGAGAAGGGCAGGCACGTGGTGCTGGGCTCCATCGAGAACAAGGTGGAGAGCAGGGGCAACTCGCTTCCAAGCTCGGGAGAGGCCTGTCGTGAGGACAAGGGCCTGGCTGCTGAGGATAGTGGTGGTGACAGCAAGGATCTGAGCGAGGTCAGCGAGACCACAGAGAGCACCGATGTCAAGGACAGCTCAGAGGCCTCCGACTCTGCCTCCTAGAGCCTGCACTTGCTCCTCTCCCCACCCCGACCTGCCCGTCCTGTCCTCGCCCCTCAAGGTTTCACAATAAACTTCACCCAGTGGCCTTGGGGAGTTCGTGTGTGCTAGTGTGCACCTTGGGGGCGGGGGCTGCCTCTCCCCGGTCCCTCTGTGTCCCGGGATGTGGACCTCAAAGCCTTTTGGCATGGTGCGTCCTGCCAAGCCCAAGTAGAAGGAAAGAGCTCTGTCGGGGTTTGGAGGCGGGGCTCCCAAGTCTGATGGCTCTCGGCCCCTATGGGTCCAGGGAAGGGAGACCCCGGACTTCTGGAAGCCAGTCCCTGCCGGGGAGGCAGGCGCTCTGGCTTCTGAGCCCTGCTCTACTGCTCCCTTGCCGGGCTCCTGATGCCTAAAGTCCAGCTGCTCACTGGGCTTCTCTGTTGCTGCCCTACCTGGTAATGCCCTGAGCCCTGGCAACTGTGCTGGATTCCTCCCTCCCCTGCCATCCAGAAGGTTGGCAAGTCCTGTGTGTTCGACCACTGACCACCTACCACCACAACTCCTGTGGAATGTACTCCATAACCTAAGCTCTAATTTGCAAGTTAATAGACTATTGTTAGTAGAGTGTTAGGTATACAAAACAGCTGGCAGTGCAGTTCCCGTCGCCTCTCCCCCCCCCCATAC